CTGGGACAGGACAGGCAAAGAGTTCACAAACGGCCTCCATAGCCGTGACAGGACGGGCAGAGAGTTCACAGACGACCTCATTGGCCGGAACAGAACATGCAGAGAGTTCACAGACGGCCTCCCTGGCCGGAACGGAACAGGCAGAGAGTTCACAGATGGCCTCCTTGGCCGGAACAGAACAGGCAAAGAGTTCACAGACGGCCTCCATAGCCATGACAGGACGGACAGAGAGTTCACAGACGGCCTCCCTGGCCGGAGCAGAACAGGCAAAGAGTTCACAAATGGCCTCCATAGCCGTGACAGGACAAACTGGAAGTTCACAGGTGGGTACTACTGACACCTCTGGAGGTTCTGCAGCGGATGCCGCCACCTCTGGAGGTTCTACAGTAGTACCATCAGGAAATAGGGAGAGTTCATTATCGGTTCCTTCGACTACGACATGACAGGCCTTGCTGCCTTGCTGGGCGCCACCACCGTACAAGGAGTTGAAGCGAGCGCCGCCGCCTCGGGAGGTTCTGCAGCATCAGCCGCCACCTCTGGAGACATCATAGTGGGCGCCGCTGTTTCTAAAGTTTCAGTGGTGGTGAATGCAGCCCAAATACACCATAAGGCGATCCCCATTGTGGGAAGCGCTACAGACAGGGAAATCAGTTCAAAAGCAGGAAGGCTTAAGAGCACTGGTTTAGGGATACCAGCTGCACGTGCTGACACCAGTGGTGGATCCTCCATGCTGGATGCCAGTCTGGGATACTGAAGAAGTGACCTCGAAGATCTGGATGCCACAGACAGGAAGTGACAGGACTCTGAGTGAACAGACGTGATGTGACGTGACTCTAGATGATCAGCTGTGATGTGACCTGATTCATGAGGATCAACTGTCACTTGATGTGACTCAGAAAGAGCAGATGTAACTTGACTTAACTCTTGAGGATCCACTGTGACTTGACTTGACCTTTGAAGATTGGCCGTGACTTGACTTGACTTTTGAAGATTGGCCGTGACTTGACTTGACTCGTGCCGATCAACTGTGATTTGACTTGACTCGTGACGAGCAACTGTGACTTGACTTGACTCATGACGAACAACTGTGACTTGACTTGACTCATGACGATCAACTGTGACTTGATTTGACTCTGGATTGGCAGCTGTGACATAACGGGGCGCTGTTGTGTCCGTCATTTTGCGCTCAGGCTCCGCTGTCGCCGCCATTTTGTGAGCGTGCTCTAGTGCCTCCGCTGTCGCCTCCATTTTGTGAGCGTGCTCTAGTGCGGCCGCCATTACATGAGTGAGTGCGGGGTCGCGTTCCTCCACGATACCCACAGTGAACGCTGAACCAACCGTCAACAAAGCATAAACTGACTTAAAGATAAACGCGGACCCTCATGAATGAGTTTGGACTTTAGCGGTTGATTAATGCCCTCACAGAAAAAGTCTATCAAAACACAGTCCGGCAGATCTGAATAATGAGCGATGGCTAAATATTCTTGAATATAGCCCTCCAGCGATCGTGTGCCCTGTCTAAGGGCTAACAATATTCTTGCTGTATCCATACCCGTCCAATGTCCATCCGAGAAGCCGCTGGATCCTTGTGTGGCCGAGTATTCTGTTACGGGGCTGACGAGACATGAGACGTGCGGATCCAAATGCAAGGCTTTATTCATAGACATGGTTAGAGACAGGCAAGGGTCATATAATGGCAACGGGTATATAGAGGGCAAGACACAAGAATATTCCTAGGGCTAGCATGGGTCTACGGTCGGTGAACAGAATTAACAGGGCGAGACTAGAGGGGTAAATCCAAGTACAATGCAAAGGTCCAGGCAGGGGCAAACAGTATCTGAATAGGGCAAGACGAGAGGGGGAATCCGAGGTACACAGGCAAAGATCAGGATACAAGAAAACAGACAAGGCAAGACTAATGTAAGGCTATGAAAACTAACGGGCTCCATAGAGTAGCTATCGCTAGGTGAGTGATATATGCTAAACAATACTCGGCAGCTTGATGGTGATAAGAGTGAGTGTTATATAGGGAAGGTGTGATTGATGACAGCTGTGTGCAATCAGTGCTGTGTGCAATCAACTGTGTGTGTAATCAGTGCAATGGATGATGGGAACTGTAGTCCGGGTGAAGTGCAACAGTGGTGTGGTGCAAGAGTCCATAGTAGTGGAAGGGTGACCTCTGCTGGCGAGCAGACGGAAGTTCATGGACCGGATTCGTGACAGTATCAAATATGATAAATCAGGCTTTTGAGGAATGTTTATTTGTACATCTCTCTATCATAAGATTTAAACATAACAAAAACTATGGTGCTGTGAACATAAAACTAAGCATTTACAGTAAATGTCATCTACTGAGACATACTGTAATATTGGGATATATAGAGTGACAACTGATATTTACAGTATGTACATTTCTGTTATACTGTTGTAAAGATCTTATTGATTTACATTACAAGCTATCAGAATTTAATTTTACTTCGCTATAAAAATATCAGCAACTTCTCCAAATACACAATTTTCCCACTAATTATTTAGGATTATTTTTCAATTATTCTGGGACTATTTCCTCTCAGACCGAATGACCACTCCAACGAGGGCTTCCTTAAGTGGGAATTCATGACGACTCACTGCTGGGGTGAAAGACCAGCAGGAGACTGGATCCTGGACATCAGAGACACACCATCTCCACGGAGAAACAGCCGACTACAAGGTGCCCACCACCTTAAAAAAAAAAAAAAAAAAAAAAAAAAAGAAAAATTGGAGTACGAGAAAATACTATTTCACAGTTGTTTCCTTCAGTGTGTTACTTGCCATTTAGTTGCAGTTATTTGTGAAATATACTAGCAATTTCTGAGTGAAAGTTGTTTCTACAGCAATTTTTTTATCAGTGTAATTTCAGGATTCAGGATCTGCTCCCAGGCTTTGACGGGCCTCTTTGGCTTCCTGTGCCTGCTGTCACGTCTGCTCTCTGAAGTCGACTCGGACTCTCTGCCCCCCCCTTAAAAAAAAAAAAAAAAAAAAAAAAAAACGAATATAATGATATACATGATTACCATATCCATGTAACACCATTTAATGGGTACTCCAACTTCAAGATACTTTAAAGTATGTTGTGGTAACATCCATGATATAATGTCAAGTACAACTGCCATAGAATGTACAGTAAAATGTTTTTCCTTTGTTGTTTACATTAGGGAAACTGGTTGAATGGTCCCTGGTGCTTTATGGAACACTCACACATCCATACATTCGACATGAGCAGCCCCGCTCTGCCCAGCTGCTGTCTGAAGATGACATCCCAGAGGAGTACAGTGGTGATTTACCTTTATAAGCCAAACAACTTTACATAATACAATTTAAATTAAAAATAATTACAATATACAGTGCCCCAACGTACTATGTGGACACTTAATGTATGAATTTCATAAAAAATCTAGTGACATCGCCAAAGGCCATTTAAGCCATATTTAAATGACCTTTTACTATCTGGGACACAGTGATTTTTAATGGATGTAAATCAGCTCCATTGTTTTGTTTGAATAGTGTGCTTGTGCTATTTGTCTGTAAAATAAATGCCACCTGGTTAGTCATTTTATTTTCTAATGCAATGACATTTATATATTTTTAAGAGCACTTAACTTCCCACTCTTGTGAAAAAGGAGTGCACTTAACTGTGTTGAATGTGTACTTAGTGTACGTCAAGTCATAAAAGTATATATTTTTTAAAAAGCTGTTCTTGCAGATAATATCATATAAAAAGCCACTTAAGTGTACTTAAAGAGAGTACACTTTCATGTTTCTTAACACACTTAAGTACACTTTGTAATATGTCAATATGTCAAATAAAAAGTTTTAAAGTATATTTAATATCATTATATTTTAATAATCTTTTGTCATGCTTTAAAGTACACTTATTTTGATGTGTTGACATTATAAAAGCACGTGTAAAGTAATTGATTATAATTTTAACTGTAGTGTCTTATTTGATATTACATTTAGAGTTAATATATTTTACCTTTACCAAATTGCCAACTTATTCATTATAAATATGTGATTACAAATATATTTAAATAGTACATGACAGACAAGTTTCAAAAGCCAAAATATGTACTTAAGTCTTAGTAAAGTGGGTCACTTAACACTCTTAAGTTCAACTAATTACTTTTAATATAAATTTAAACTATAATACATTTTCATATTATTGTAAATAGCATGTAATTGAGTGAAATATTACATTTGGTTCACACTTAAGTATATTATTTTAAAATATATTATTTCTTAATAAGTACTCTTTATAAAAAAAAATATGCTAAAGTGTACTTCTTGTCAAGTGGACTTTTGTCACAAGGGCACTTCTTGGTGCCACTGTAAATATATAATTCCTTTGTATATGGAATACCTTTTCATTTCCCTTCTCCTCAATATAAGGCTCTTGTGACCCAGAGTGTAGTGAGGATGGCTGTGAAGGACCTGGACCCCATCAATGTATTTCCTGCTTGCACTTTTTCCTAAAGTTCAAAAATAACACACGGTCAGAAATTTTTACTTTTGTACTTTTTTTCTATCTCTCTCTACTTCAAAAGGTTTTTGATAATACTACACCCTCTAATTTTTCAGGACCTGTGTGTCTGAGTGTCCGAGTGGGTACTGGGGAGATAAGAAGAGGTGTAAAAAGTGTTATTCCTCCTGCAAGTCATGTTTGGGCAGCCGCAGTGATCAGTGCACAGCCTGTAAATCTGGATATCATCTGAATGAGGAAAAGAACAACTGTGTGACCAGCTGTGAGGATGGTTCATATCTTTACTATGGTAAGAGTGATGCCACCGATTTTTTATCAGTACTGAAAAATAAGCCAGTTACTTGGCTTATACTTCTAAAAATAATACTTCTAAAAATAAAGGTTCTTTTTTGACATATATGGTTCCTTAAACAACCTTTAACACCCATGGAACCTTTCCATTGCACAAAATGTTCTTCATAATAATAACAAGAACTACTACTTACACACTAAGTAGAACATTACACTTAACACACTATTTAAAAATGGTTATTTTAATAATTATTGACTGATAGGTTCTTTGCGGAACCCAGAATAGTTCCTCTATGGTATGAACTTTGAAGAAAAAGAAAGAAATATTGCAAGAGATTTTATGTTATTTAGAGATTAGTTAGGACATACCTTCGACTAATTTTGTGTTATTAATGTTTTTGCCATGCAGAGGAAAACGTGTGTAGGAAGTGTAATATTGAGAACTGTATGAAATGCACCTCAGCCTCCATTTGCACAGAGTGCTCTGATGGCACAAGGTAATGTCTTTTAATGAAATATTTGAACCTTCTGAAATTTCATGACACAATTTAGCCAAGTCTGTTCACTGTAATGAAAGATGACTGTCTCTATCTTCTGCCCTTTCAGTCTGGTGGGCAGCAGATGTCAGAAGAGTTGTGAGGTGGGCCGTTACTACAGTGAGCCGGAGGACTCGTGTGAGCCCTGCCACCCAGCCTGTGCTACATGTGCTGGTACAATCCACAAAAATGCAATACATCATCAATGACATCCCACCAAATGTATTCAGATCAACATGCCTGAGTTCAACCCTAGAACAGTGGTTCTCAATCTTTTTGGCTCCAAGGCCCACCACATGTATTGTCCACAACAATATTCGAAGGCTAAAATAAATAACTAAAATAATTCTAATTCAAATGGAAATAATTTCATTTAAGGATTTCAGAAGTTTTAGGAGTTTTTATATTCTTTGGGGTTCCCAACTACTTAACTACTTGATTTGCGTGTCTCTTTCAGTTGATTTTATACATTGGCATGACTTTTCCAGGTCTAAAAATCACACTTTTACAATTAGGCTTCCTCATGCAGTATATCCAGGTTTTCCAAGACAGTGGGAATCCTGGTTCTTCAAAGGAAATAAACAGTTGTTTTAGCTTACTTTAATGCTTGTCTTATATCATTTTTAATCATTTTAAGTACAAGTACTGTCACATTGCTGAAATAATACTCAATTACAAGTAAAAGTACTGGTGTCAAAACAGTACTTAAGTAAAAGTACAAATTACTCTTCTCAACACCTACTCAGAGTACTAGTTACTAGATCCCTTTCAGTTGGTCACGTTCGACGTCACGTCGGAACGTACCAACGAATTGGGATCTCGCCTGAGAGCCCTATCATCTTCGAGTGTAACGAAACAAGTCAATGCATAATGCTTAGAATTTTGCATTTTAGGCTCATATATCAAAAACAAAAGTTCAAAAGTTTGCTTAACTTATTTACCTACAAAAAATGTAAAATTAATATTTCAAGTGTTGTGAATTAAACATTTTATTAAAACAGCTCACTCTTTATTTAATGTGACTGACAACTGCAAGCAATTCTGCCTGCAACAGGCCTGATTGGTATAATTACAAAAGGCGGGTCTCTCTTCATTTTGTATGTAACAAACCAAAACAATTTACGAATAAATGAATAAAATAAAAATAAATAAATAAAATTGTCAAATGACTTACGGCAACAGAACATTAAAGAGACCTATCAAGATCTCAACATCTTCACTTAGGCTATTACTAATCATTTTGACTTAATTTCATACAAATGTTCTTGTTGAGACTTAACAGAGGCTTAGATGTTAATGTTTTAGTGAAAATAGTAACGTTTGATGTCACCATGATAGAGATCAGTGTTTGCTTTAGTTGGGCTCTTGATCCTTGGTTTTTTTAGGGATTAGCTTTTGTCTGGCTGGTTTAAATTTGTTTTTCTAAAGCACATTCTTTAAAGCGATAAATGCAAAAAGAAAAAATCTGATCTATAGTAGAGATTAGTAGAGATCAGAGATAATGTTGGCTATTTATTGCTACTGATGTAGTCATGTAGCGACCTAATTCACTGATCTCATTATGAGGCTAAGCTACTTTAGCAAATGTTTAGATAATTTGACTATTTTTACTGTAGCTTTGTGATTTTAATGATATCATTGTTATGCCAATAAGATTTTTAAAGCATTTTAAAGAAAAATTTAGGTTTTTTTTTTTTTTAGATGCACAGAAACATCAAGAATCTCAACAATGTTGACAATCAACAAAATGCTTTTTGTGACTTTAGTAGCTTGCTTTGTGACGTTCAGAGTTGATTTGTTTATGATCTGAATATTTAGTCTCCGTTGTTGAGATTCAAACGCTGATTCTTGATGTCTGAGTGGGTCTGAATGACCCTGTCAAAACATTTTCTGCATAATGGCTTTATAAAATGTTTCAAAATATCACATAACTACAGTTTGAAATTACTTACTAAATAATTAAAGATCATACTCTGGGTGAGATTGTGAATCAGGCCACTATATGATGACTACATTACCACCGATAAGTAGTCAACATCACTCAATCAGAGTTTCTCTTGTATTTTTGCCATAACAAACAAGCTTCAGAAACAAAGCACCAAAAAGAAAACTTCAGTTAGAAAGTCAAGGATCAAGAGCCCAACTAAATCAAACACTGATCTCCATCATGGTAACATCAAACTTTATTATTTTCAATAAAACTTCAATATATAAACCTCTGTTAATTCTTAATAAGGACTTAAAATAAAAATAAATAAATAAAATGTACTTAATCACAAGCTTATTAATTATTCCTGAATAATTCTCACTTCAGGCTGAACTCAAAAGTTGGCAGTCCTGTTTGAAGTAAGTTGAAGTTTTAGGTTTCCTGAACATTTACAAAAACATTTACTAAAGGCAATAACTGTGTAGTCATTAATACAGTGATGTCTATATATACATCAGCTCATGCATGTTTTCACTGTGTGTTGTTTTATTTTGGGATCTGATAAAGCTTTTGGGGCCCAGGCCTGAAACAACTTTCTTTTGTTTATTTCTAATTATTTCGTTTAAATATCACATAAGACTCGAAGAATCAAGCAAGTAATTCTAGTGTGTAATGTATATATGCTCATTCAAATTTGGTTCAGAATTGTGATCATATTCCAACAGGAAACAGGAATCTTGTGACTATGACTTTTTGTGTCTTTAACAGATAAGTGAGCTTGTATTTGTGTAGATGTGATATTTTAGGGTCACGTCTTTGTACAGCCGCAGGTCTAGAGTCATGTAATCGTTGTGCTGAAGGCTACCTGATGGAGAACTGGAGATGTGTGTCCTCCTGCAGTCAAGGATTCTATGCTGTACAAGCAAACTCTGACAGCACAGATACTCAGAGCACCTGTAAGAGGTGTGTGTGATACCTCCTCTCATCTATTCAGCATTTATCGTAATTTCCTGCCTATATTTTGATTCTGAAGTGTGTGTATATGTGCAGGTGTGATGCGAGCTGTCTGGCCTGTGTCGGGCTAGATAAAGAAAACTGCAGTGAATGTGTAGATGGACACACACTTCTGGATGGTGTGTGTATTCTCAGCCACAACTGTGTTGATGGTAAGTTCTGGGTTTTTTTCCAACCAGAGTATGCAACCGTGTTGATGTAAAGTAGAGTTTAACTAAAGTAATTTTTGCTTATTAGTATGGTTGAATTGGATTATCGAAGGTCAGCAGCAAAGACATTGGTTAATAAAATGAAATTAAATACATAAAGGATATTTGTGTTATTTAACATTTATTTATTGCAGGTTTGCATCATATTCAGAGTTTGCATTTCACTGTTTTTATTTATTTTGAGGAATACTGAATCTTTTTTTGTGCTAGTGAGATAAATGCATGTAAATGTAAGTGCATGTTCACATTTAGTCTAGAACTGCAGTAACCATCATGTTTACACAGCACACACAACACCTCTGCACTTACTCCTGATTTCTCTCAACATGGGGACAGGAGAGCTGTTAGTCAATAAATGGGAAAATAAAGTAACTGCATGGCGTTACTTATTTTGAAAAAGTAACATACTCGGTTACAAACGTAACCTCAGTTCCCTGAGATACGGGAACGAATACTGCATCGCTAAGACACTATGGGGAAAAGTCCTTTTCTCTGATAACTGAAGCCTTTTTTCAATAACGCAGTGTAACTGTACGGACATTGGTTCGTGCAGTGAATTAAAAACGAACCAATGGCTCACCAGTGGAGCTGCACGAGCCTATGGCAATGAAGCGCGCCAGAGCCCGCCAGAATGGGTGGGGTCATCTGGCTATATAAGCAGGCATTTCGCCATAGGATCCTCAGGTTACTTCGTCTGAAGCGACGACACTGAGTCATGCAGCTACACAGCACGGCTTGTTACGCAGTACTCGTGGAGGTTATATTAGTTACCAGTACAGTAAGATGCAATGGGGAACCAGTACAATCCCGCCGTGCTATGCTAGAGGTACGACCAATATTTGAACTCGCCTTAAGCACCAAAAGGGGTTCAGAGGGTCCAAGTATTCGACAGGGTAAGCTCTCCAGGGAAGACTCCATACAGCCTCGGCACTCAGGGAGGGCCAAGAGCGTACAGGAATAAGGCAAAGCCTAAGAACTGGTTCTGCCCTTTGGCGGGTGCATGTTCACTATGCAGAAAGGACCCGGGCCTGTAAGGCCGGGACGTCCAGATTATAGAACCTGGCAAAGGTGGATGGCAGTAATTATAATTGTAATTGATTTCTGTGATGAACACACTGCTAGACCAAGCCCAGGACCAGGCTACGCCTCTAGTGAAGTGGGCTCTTACTGCTATGGGGCATTGCAGGCCCAAAGAGGAGTATGCTAGAATAATAGCATCTACTATCCATTTGGACAGTCTCTGCTTCGTGACCGGAAGCCCTTTGGCACGGCCACCGAAGCCTACAAAGAGTTGTTCCAAGTGCCTAAACGGAGCGGAACACTCAATGTAAATTCTCAGAGCCCTGACAGGACAGAGAAATTTCAACTCTTGGCCATCCTCTGAGGGTGGAAGCGCCAATATAGTTATAACCTATGCTCTAAATTGAGTGGAGAGCACTTTAGGTTTATACCCATGCCTTGGCTTCAGGACGACCTTGGAGTCGCTGGGCCCGAAATCAAGGCAGGCAGGGCTCACAGATAGCGCCTGCAAGTCTCCTACTCGCTTGACTGATGCTAAAGCTAGCAACAGGGCGGTCTTCAGTGGCAGGGGCCGGAGGCCGGTCGATTGTAGCGGCTCGAAGGAGGGACTCCTGAGAGCCCTCAGGACCTTGGGCAGATCCCATGAAGGGACAGTAAGGGGGCGAGGCGGATTCAGCCTTCTAGACCCTTTCAGAAAGCGAACAACCAAGTTGTTCCTGCCAACCGACTGGTCGGCTATAGGAGTGTGAGAAGCTGCTATAGCTGCTACATAGACATTGAGTGTGGAAGGGGAAAGTCCCTTTTCCAACAACTCTTGGAGGAAGGACAATATCACTGATATGTCGCAGGAGGATGGGTCTTTGCTGAGTGTGGTGCACCAGGCGGAGAAGACCAACCATTTAAGGGCGTAGAGACATCTTGTGGACGGGGCTCTAGCCTGTGAAATAGTGTTCAAGACGCTCCCTGGAAGGTCTGCAGGCTCCCATCGAGAGGCCAAATGTGCAGAGCCCACAGCTCGGCTGGGGGTGCCAGATCATTTTATTCTGAGAGGAGGTCTCGTCTCAGGGGAATGGGCCATGGGGCAGCTGCAACAGCTCCGAGAGCCATAGCTGGTTCTTCCAGAGTGGGGCTACTAGGAGAACTTTGTGTTTGTGTTCCCTGAGCGTACAGGAGGAGGTTGGGCCAGTCGTCGAAAGTTGTCTTTTGAGGTGAAGAGATTGAAAGCAAGTAGAGGTGTGCCCATTCCAAGAGGCGCTCTGCTTGGAAGAAGAGACGCCTCAAAGTGAGCCCGCACTGGCGATTTATGTAGGACACCACTGTCATGCTGTCTGTTCCAGGCAATTGATATGTAACCGACTTTCCTCCTCTGACCAGGGGCCAGTATGCCCTCGCACAGAGCTCCCCAACCTGTGTAGGATGCATCTGCTGAGACAACCTTCCTTCTGCAGATTATATCCAGAGCCACGCCCCGTTTCAGCCACTGAGGGCTTTTCCAAGGGGCCAGAGCTGCCACGCAGGCCTGGTCTACCTTGATACAAAGGCATCCATGACGCCAAGCTTGGGGCAGAACCCTTGGTTTCAGCCAGTACTGCAGTGGCCTCATGTGAAGCAGGCCCAACTGTAGCACCAGAGATGTGGAGGCCATGAGGCCCAGCATCTTCTGAAATGTCGTGCGATTGCGAGAGGCTCCAATTTTGAAGGAAGCCGCGAGCTGTTGTATGGCCAGTGCGTGTTCTGGCACGACTACCGCCCTCATTTGGGGTGAGTCAAAAACTGCTCCCAGGAACAAGATCTGTTGGCTGGTGGACAGTGAGCTCTTGGTAAATTTGACCCTGAGTCCCAGGCATTCTAAGTGGCTGAGGAGGAGGGATCTGTGGGATAGTAGCTTGACCTCCAACTGGGCTAAAACCAACCAGCCGTCGGGGTAATACAGAATGCGAATTCCCATCTTCCTCAGAGGGGAAAGAGCCGCATTCATGCATTTCATGAAAGTGCGAGGAGCCAGGGACAGCCCAAAGGGAAGGAGTGTGTATTGATAAGCCACTCCCTCAAAGGCAAATCTCAAGAATCGTCTGTGATGGGTGGCTATCTGGATGTGAAAGTAGGCATCTTTCAGATCCAGCGAAAAGAACCAGTCCCCTGGGCATATTTGCGAGAGGATCTGTTTCAGTGTAGTCATCCTGAACGGGCGTTTCATGAGGGTGCGGTTCAGGTACCCGAGGTCGAGGATGGGCCGTAGGCTGCCATCTTTTTTGGGGACCAGGAAGTAACAGCTGTAGAAGCCTGACTCGCTCTGAGCTGGGGGAACCGTCTCTATGGCTCCTTTTGCCAGCAAATTCATCACCTCGGCGTGCATGACGTGTGTGTCCTTGCTTCGCACCAGTGTGGGAATCATGCCGCTGAAATGCAGGGGTCTTCGAGCAAACTGAAGTGAGTAACCTCATCTTATTATCTCCAAAACCCAATCTGACACTCCGGGGATGGCCTGCCAGGCCTTGGCCCGCGTGGCAAGGGGTTGGATTGACTCGAGTGGCAAGTCGCCTTTGCCCTCTTTTTGATTTGGTCCAGACTCGTCCATGCAGCAGAGGAGTTTGGCCTGAAAGCCCTGGATGACCACCATTGAATGAAGTGCGAAGGTCAGATGTAGTCAAGCGAAGCGAAGGTCAGATGTAGTTCTGCATGGCTTGGAGGGGTGAGCGACTTTCGCTTTCCAACCGATGGCAGTGGGCGGGCAGAGGTGCACAGCCACAGACTCATTCAAGGGAGGAAGCTTCTCGTAACCTCTTGCTTCAGCGCCATCTACGGAGGTGAGGGCGGATGTAGCCAAAGCACGCAGGTGGGCTGAGTAGGGGGCGCATCACGTTCTGGTGAGCTCGTTGTGGACCTCCAGGAAAAACAGAGAGGCTCGCTGAGGAGGGGCTTGACAGCGCCCTGGCAGGAACCATTCGTCCAGGCGGCTGCGAGTGTGCTCTTCGGGAGAAGACCCCTCCAATCCCATCTCCTCGACCGCTTTCGAGGGGACACAGAATAATTTGGCATCCATCCCAGGCTTGGCGTCGCTGGGTTCAGACGACAGCAAAGGGCAGCGTCATGGACTGAGCCTGACAGCTCCTCTGCATCCGAGGCTGCTAATGACATGCTGTCATCTGGCCGCTCATCGTCACTCCCACCGACCAAGACCAGGTCGCTCGCACTGGCAGAGGGACACTGGTCTAGCTGAGTGAAGAGGACGGGGGAAGCCTCTCTGTGTGGAGAAAGCGAGGCATGCAGGACCTGAGCCGGCGTGAGCTCGCTCGCCTCCAAGCACTCAGATCCTCTGCCCCGCTGTTTTTGTCCTTGCAGGTCCCTGGGAGGAAGAAAACGGGAAAGCGTGAGGGGCCGAGTTGCTCTCTGAAAAGAGAGCTATCTGCCAGCGCAGAGTGACAAGACTCATGTTCTCGTAGTGAGAACAGTTCTTCTCCATGGGGGCGACTTCCATGTGGGATTTCCCCAAGCAGGAAGCGCACTCACTGTGGCCGTCATCAGCAAGTACACACTGCAATAACAGAGTGGCATTTGAAACAATGCCACTGAAAATTTGCTCTTTAGAAATATGCTCTTTTGATATATGCTCGCCGGATGGTGGCAGGGGAAAAGCCATGACCACTGCTGCTGCAATGCTGAATGTGGCGGGAGAAGCGGCGAATCAGTCAAGCAGAGAGAGATCGCTGTCAGCTTGTTCCGCTGCGAGGTGTGTCTAAGGAGAGCAGGCTTCGAGTCTCGTAGATCAGCGAAGAACGTTGTCGTCGCTGAAGGAGAAGAAATCTGAGGATCCTAAGGCAAAATGCCCGCTTATATAGCCAGATGACCCCGCCCATTCTAGTGGGCTCTGGCGGGCTTTGTTGCCGTAGGCTCATGCAGCTCTGCTGCCGAGCCATTGGTTCGTTTTTAATTCACTGCATGAACCAATGGTCATGCAGTTACACTGCATTATTGAAAAAAGGCTTCAGTTATCGGAGAAAAGGACTTTTCCCCATAGCATCTTAGCAACACAGTACAAGTGAAGTATCGATAGGGAACTCAAATATTTTTTTATTTAAATTTAAATACGAATGCGTTACTTTACTAGTTACTTGGAAAAAAAAGTAATCTGATTACATAACTTGTGTTACTTGTAATGCGTTACCCCCAACACTGGTTGTAACATTTCAGATATAATTGTAATTGATTTATGTTTGTGGTTAAAGGGGAATATCAGGATGAGAGTGGAGAGTGTCAGTCATGCGATGTGTCCTGTCATAAATGTAAAGGTTCAACAAGTGTGGACTGTCTCAGCTGCTCCAACACACAGTAAGAAACAATTTCAACAATTGCTTGTTATATTAAGCAGCATTTTTTTAAACATTGATAATAGGAAGAATCATTATTATATCATAATTGAGCACCAATAATAATTTATAATAACTGAGCACCAAATCAGCAAATTAGAATAATTTCTGAAGGATCATGTGATAGTGGAGTAAGGCTGAAAAATTATATTTTGTCATCATAAGAATAAATCACATTTTTTATTAAAATAGTAAACAATTATTTTAAATGGCAATAATGTTTCACAATATTAGTATTTTACTGTGTTTTTGATCAAATAAATGCTGCCTTGGTGAGCATAAGAGACTTCTTTTAAAAACATCAAAAACTCTTAATTATTATAATTATTTAACATTTTTTTCTTAATTATTTAATTGTATTTTATTGTACAGTTATTTGCTAATAATGTGCATTTCCTGTTCTTGTAGTTGGCTTGATGAGGGTCGATGTGTGGTCAGCTGCTCAGATGGGAAGTACCCATCCAGTGGACAGTGTCACCTCTGTGACCACACTTGTGCTCAGTGTGTTGATGCTGGTCCTGCTAACTGTACCAGCTGTGATACAGGTCAGAATTCATTTCTCATTATAGACCAAATGGCTGCTGTCCCAATAACTCAACTAAATTAGCATGCGCAACTGCCACAATCCAGTTAATCTTATTTATAAGAGCTCCATCCAGTGTATAGAATGAAAACTTGGCAAGCACTAAATGTCAGTAAAAATGGCCTTCTTAATACAGTAGTCTGATAGTATAATTATTCGCTGTTTAGTGGTAAGCAAGTAAAATCAAAAAGATGCAAATGGATAATTAAAAAAAAAAGTGTGACTCTCACATCTTACAGCAAATTTTACCTTATAGCTTGTATTTTAATTTACTTTTAGCTTGGAAGATAAAACATCTTTTTTCATTTCCACCATTTCATTCCTGGCTTCAAGCCACCAAAATAAAAAAAATACAAGTAGCAGCATCACAATGGTCCCACCATCTACAGTTTGTGTAACTGTGTGCATGGTATGGTAATTTTGTGTGTAATATGTATTTTGTTTGTGTGTTGTAGATAAGTTTGGGGTGGACCGGTACCTGTTCCGTGGCGATTGTGTGGAAGTGTGTCCTCAGGCTCATTTCCACACAGCACTGAAGGCATGTGAGTCGTGCCCTTCACACTGCAAACTCTGTTCTTCGGCCACACATTGCATCAGGTGTGAGGACTCCTTCTACCTCAACGACGGAATCTGTAATAAACTGGAGTGTGGCGAAGGTCTGACTTTATCTTCCTGTACAGTTCAAGTGTCACTTGTTTTGTTGCTTTTTTGTTTTGTTAGAACACAAAGGAGATATTTAGCACAATGTCCAAGCTGCTCTTTTTTTTGTAAAAGGATATATAAATATATATATATACAGTGGGTATAGAAAAGAATCACCCCCCTTTAAAATAATCACATTTTGTTGCTTTGCAGTCTGAAATGCAGCTGTATTTGAAACTTATAACATTTAAGTGAAAGATATATCACCAACATGTCAGAAAAAAAAAACAAAAAAAAAACAGAATAACTGAGTTGGAAAAAGGATCACCCCCTTGTGTGAGTATTTTGTTGAACCACCTTTTGCTTTAATTACAGCCTCTAGTCTGTTGGGATATGTGTCTACTAACTTTGCACATCTGGACTTTGCAATATTTGCCCACTCTTCTTTGCAGAACTGCTCAAGTTCAGTTCAATTTGATGGTGACCGTTTGCGGACTGCAGTCTTCAAGTCATTCCACAGAGTTTCAGTGGGGTTTAAGTCTGGGCTCTGACTAGGCTATGCAAGGACATTCACCTTCAATCACTGTGTGCTCAGTTTTGCTGTGTGCTTTGGGTCATTGTCATGTTGGATGACTTTCTGGCAGAGGGCAGCAGATTTTCCTCATGAATTTGATGGTATTTTGCCCTATTAATTTTTTCTTCTGTCCTGACAAGTGCTCCAGTCCCTGCTGCAGAGAAACACCTCCATATTACCACCTCCATGCTTTACTGGAGGAATGCTGTTATTTGGATGGTGAGCTGTACTGGATTTCCGACAGACATATCGTTTGGTGTTGAGGCCAGATAATTCAATTTTAATCTCATCTGCCTCAGAATCTTCAAGGTGTGTTTTGGCAAAGCTCAGTTGTGTCTGCATGTGGCCTTTCTTGAGGATTAGCTTTTTTTCTTGCAACCCTCCCATACAAGCCACATTTGTGGAGAATGTGTGATGTTGTCACATGCACACAATGACCACTCTTTGTCATAAATTCCTGCAGCTGCTTCAGAGTTGCTGTAGGCCTCTTGGTAACCTCTCTGACCAGTTTCCTCCTGGCTCTTTCATCCAGTTTGGAGCGACGTCCTGTGTTGTACCAAATACCTTCCACTTCTTAATAACAGACTTCACTGTGCCTCTTGGCATTGATAAAGCCTTTGAAATATTCTTTTTTTTGTATCCATCTCCTGACTTGTGCCTGTCCACAACTTTATCCTGGAGATCTTTTGACAGTGCCTTGCCACCCATAGTTGATTGTTTGCTTCAGTTGCACTACCAAGGACTGAAATGATCTAGGAAGCTCTTTTCATGCTGAGCTGATCAAAATGACCACAGCTGATCACAGTTGAAAGTCAAATGGCTTTTTGTGCCATTGAGAAGGTGATTAGCTACACCTGATTGAGTTTACAAGTCACTTTTAGGAGGGGGTGATCCTTTTTCCAACTCAGTGACTCTGGTTTTTGTTTTTGTTTTTTTCCTGACATGCTATGTCTTTCACTTTTACGTTGTAAGTTGCACTGAGTAAATACAGCTGGATAAAACAAAAACTGTGTCCGTCTTCATTTCAGGCTGCAAAGCAACAAAATGTGATTATTTTGCACTTTCAGGACAAACTTCAGTCAATGCATTTAACTAATTTATGTGTGTGTTTTAGGGGAGGTGGAAGACCCAGAATATGATGACTGCATGTCATGTGAAGAGGGATGTAATAAGTGTGTTCTCTGTAAGTTCAGCATTCCATCTGTTCTGTGCTTTATCAGTTAAAGCAAATAATAGTATTACTATTGCTCATACTTGGGGTTAGTTTTGAAGTGGAGCACATGGCTGATGTTTGGGTTTGTTTGCCATGTGCTCTTCAGACTTTCAAATACATTTCTTTAGTAAATCTAAACAAGTAGAGCATAACTGATATATGTGACAAATTGTTTTGACTTTATATTCCACTGTAAACTGTACTGAGTTGACCACACAGACGTTTCTGCATAATTTAAAGTTCCTTCACTTTGCAGATAATCCCAAACACTGTCTGTCCTGCATTGGTGGATATTACAAGTAAGAAACATTTAAATGATGTAACAGAACTGTCTGCTGAAATGTATGTGTAAAAGACAGAATCAAACTTTCAGAAAGTTACTTTTCAGATGTGTGCCGCTCTGAGATGTGACTGACGTGCTCTTTGTTGCACAGGTTTGAAGAGGGCTGCTATAAGCCCTGTCCTGCTAAGACATACACAGTGGAGGAGACCATGAGCTGTGTATCCTGTGAGCATGACTGTGTCAGCTGTGATGAAGATGAGTGCTACTGGTGTGAAGCTGACCTCTTCCTGGCAGGTTACCCATTTACATTTATATTTATGCATTTGGCAGACACTTTTATACAAATTACTTAACATTGCATTTATGGTATACATTTTATCAGTTTGTGCATTCCCTGGGAAATCCATGGCCTTGGAGTTGCTAGCGGCATTCTCTACTAAAGTGGTTTTCAACCAGGGGGCCAGAGCCCGCTAGGGGGGCCTTGGCAAACTTACAGTGGTGCCCCAATAATAAAAATTAGGTTTCACTTTATTTTGATGGTCCCTTTAACACATTCTGTTGACTATAAGTAACATTGCACCTACATGTCTACTAACTCTCATTAGAGTATTAGTAGAGTATTAGTAGACTGGTAGGGTTAGGGTTAGGTTTAGAATAAGTTGACACGTACTTGCAAAGTTACTTATAGTCAGTAGAATGTCTGTTGGGAGACCATGACAATAAAGAGTTAGCAGATATGAAGTAAACAGTCTACTAATACTCTGATGAGAGTTAGTAGACATATATGTGCAACATTACTTATTGTCAACAGAATGTTCAAAAGGGACCATCAAAATAAAGTATTACCAAAAATTAAAATTTAGTTATATTGTCAAATTAAAATGCTGAAAAGAGACTAACAAATAAAGATGTACCACATTAAACTGACATAATATATTTTTTAGTTTATTGGTTTTTATTACAAAAGAAGTACCAGAGATACATATGAGCTTAAAGGTGGGGTAAGCGATTTTTCAAAAACGTTTTAGAAAACTGTTGGATGTTAAAGGTGGGGTAAGCGATTTAGATGGCGGATAAAAAACAAAAGAGGAAAACGTCTGCGGAACAAAAGAAGGCTTAAGGCAAGAAGTATGGACCCGTGTAAATATCGGATCAGCTTTCCAGCGCTGGAGAGAACTCAAGGAGAGGAAGGCCTGCGATCGGATGCCGAGGTTGCTTTGTTTCTTCTCGATAGGTGAGTAACACCGTGTCTGCGCCGCAACAGCTAAAGTCTGTCTAGTACACTGGAAGCGAAAAAGCAACCATTGAAAATCATTTGAAATTTGTGTCAATACGTCATAAATAGAACGCAGCAGCAGTTTTCTGTCGGGGATTTGTCGTGTCGTGCCGCACCGCATCCAGTGTAGACAGCATCACTGATTATAATGAGTTCCATAGTATTTTGTCGCGCCGCACCACTCGCGTCCGGTGTAGACAACATTGGTTTTGCTTTGTTTCACAGAACTAATCGTTGCCTGGGTTGCTTACGTATGTGTGGGGGGAGACCCTTTTGGTGTAGGAGCATGTTTGTTTTGGTGATTTCAAATGTCAACATTGGCTACCAGAAATCGCTTACCCCACCTTTAAATACCCTTGTGAAAAAGAAGCATACTTTTTAGAAAAAGAGTACTTATTAAAGAAATAGTAAACTTTAAAAGAATACACATAAGACCATACTTTATTGGACACTTAACTGTGTTGTTTACAACTAAATGAAAATGTATAAATGTGTAGTTTAAATGTATTTTAAATGCAATTAGCTGAACTTTAGAGTGCCGTTTTTGACCCACTAAAGCAGTAAATTATTTAAGTAATTTATCTTTAATCTATATTTATTTCTTTAATCTATATTTATTATATGTATTATTTCTTTTATCTATATGTATAATATATCTTTAATATATATTTATTAATCCATAATTACTTCTATTGACTATGAAAAATGGTTAAATGTACTGACAAGCATTTATGGTAAACTAAAATATACTTAATTTTAATTTCAATTGACTACAATGTAATATCAAGTAACACACTACAGTTAAAATCATAATTAAGTTCTCATGCTTTAGTATGTTAATCTACACATCAGCACACTACATTCTTGTAACTATATATGCAGAGACAACCATATGTACAAAACACAGAACATACAACTTTAATTGACAAGGGACTTACTCTATGTGTTTTAAAGAAACTTGAAGTTGAAACTTTTGAAAAACACATTTTTAAAACTAATTTTGCATGATCGTTTGACACAATTGGACAAGATAGATTGTTCATGTGTTTAATATACTGTACCCTGCAGATGGGAAGTGTGTGCGAGAATGCCCTGATGGTTTCTATGGTGATGAAGATTCTCAGGAGTGTGAGGAATGTCACTCAGACTGCAGGACATGCAGTGGGCCAGAGGACAGTGACTGTGACAGCTGCGGTGATGGATTTACACTTGATAATGGAGCATGTGTGCCTGAACAGGATGTCTGCCCTGCCCAGACATTCCTCAGTGGTAAGAGCAACACTATTGAGAGGAAAAATATATTATTTAGAGATTGCTCGTTCATAGCTCTGGAGATGTTAACTTTGTCTCGTGGCATAGTCCAGATAAATTGGTCTTGGAAGAATTTGATTTCATATGACTTTGTATTAAAATCCATCCATCTATCAATCCATTTTTCAAACTGCTTGTTCTATGCAGGGTCACAGTCTCACACAGTCTCAGACATTGAAACTCTATTGCAGAGGTATTCAACCCTGCTCCAAGAGACCCACTGTCCCTGGCAAGTTTATTTCCAACCTGCTTTAACACACCTGCCTGTGATTTTTCAGGAAAAAAGTCATTCTGAAGACCATTATTAGTTAGTTCAGGTGTGTTCGATTAGGTTTGGAGCTAAAATCTGCAGGATATTGGCTCTCCAGGAGGAGGGTTGAAGAGCTTTTTCTCAGGAGAAAATCTGGAGAGCATTTGCAGTCATTTGTATGACTTCATTAATTTTAGTATCCTGCTGAAAACAAAAGAGACCTTTAATTTCAGAGTTTTTAACCACAGTGCTTCACAATTCAATTCCACCATAAGCCTTGGAAAAGCCTATTATTAACTAATGATTAAGCAGAAAGCGTTTAATGTTAGGCAATGTTATAATTAACTTATTAGACATAGAGACTTAACAATAAATATTTTAAAATTGCTCTTAGCAAAGTTCAGCAAAGGATGCTCTTCTAATTAAAAACTTATAGAGCTGTATAGAGTTATTGAAGATTTTGTACAACAAGTAAAATGACTGAATACAAAATGACTACAATAAATCTTGAGCTGTCTGTTTGTAGGTTCACTCTCTGAAGAAAATGTGCAAAAATTGTGCCTTTAGGGGTACAACAGCTTGGCACAAGGGGATTATTCTACCACTAAAACATTTATAGTATTACCTTAAGGGTGCATATTACCACTCTAATATGCACATTTTAGTTGCAGATAAGGTACTTTTAAGGGTCCATTTTTTAGGTTTTTTTTTTCTGTGTTACAAAAATGTTCTTGATTTTACTTATTGATTATTTAGATCATTACAGTCTATTGGTTCATTTGTTTTTCTCAACAGAAAATAATTTATTTTAGGTTCTTTAATGATGTTGCAATTTAGTACATTTAAAATATATTAAATTTAAATGCAATATCAAATAATGTAGCCTAAGTACTTTGCATGCACTTTAGTATCTTAGTCAACACATCAAAACAAGTGTGCATCTTTAAAGGCATGACAAACGATTATTGAAACATAATGATCTAAAATGTACTTTAAAGAAATATTTTTAATTTGAAATTATTACAGTGTATACCCAAAGTGTACTTAAAGGGGTCATCGGATACAAAATTCACTTTTGTTGTTGTTTGAACATAAATGTGTGTTGGAAGTGTGTGTACACAGCCACCCTATAATGATAAAAATCCACCCAGTGGTTTTTTAAAAATCCCTATTTTAAAATTCCCTTTCTCAATTCAGGCTGTTCTGAGATTCCTGTCAGAATGACATAGTTCTGCACAGGCCGCTCCCACGATAGTTGATTGACAAGGCCGTCTTACCTTAGACCTGCCCTGAGTGAGCTGTGAGCTGTCTGCCATTGTGTCGACTCCGGTGCAGGGGAAGACAAGAATGACTCCTAAGCGATTGAGATGTTTTGTTGTTGGATGTAATAATGAACATAGCAGTCGTCATTTACTCCCGACATCTGAGCCGCTGAAGACGCAGAGTATTAAAGTTACTTTCGTTTTTGAAGGGGATGCGCCGATCCCCGATCTGCCTAAATGCGTTTAAGTTCGCGCGAATCATTCGTGATCCAGCTTCATCTACAGAAGTGAGTATAAGGGTTTTTTATGAATCTTTGCAAATCGCCTTTCCTAATAATGTGCTAGTTTACCAGTTTCGCGGCTGAAGTTTAAAGTCTGCTCGTCACCCCACGGAAGAGAGGGGCAGGTTGAGCAGAGCTCGTTAGCATTTAAAAGGAACATGGACTAAAATGACTTGCTGAAAACAGAGCTGATTTTGAAAAGGGTGTTTTTTACACTACCATTGAGAAATTTTAACCAAAGTATGTTATTGACTTTTCATTAAGACCCTAAAGAATCATATCAACTTGTGGAAAATGGACATCCGATGACCCCTTTAAAGCTGCATTACGTTTTTTTTTGTTTTTGTTTTTTGGTTAAAAATGATCCAAAATCAATGATTGAGCAAGTACATAAGCAATCAGTGTTCAAAACGATCTCCTTACTTTAGCCCGATTCACAACAGTAAGCTTATAATAATGTTTTATAATTTGAGTGGTTTGGGTCTGTCATCTTTGCGTCATTACGTCATGTCTGTATACATAAAGAAGGAGTCCCAGCTATCGCGTGTTTGGATGTCTCGTTCCCACTCTCAGGGAACCAAGGTTACAACAGTAACCAGAAACGTTCCCTTTCAAGCGTTCACTCACATTGTGAAGCATTCGCTGTGGGAACAGTATACAATCCCGCCGTGAACGCGTAAAACCACATCAAGCATGGTGTAGAACAACATACAACAACAGTAGCAACAGCTATACGCAGTAACAAACTGTGCTCCAAATTGCATGCATTGCAATAAACATGAGGGATAAGTGAGGTTAGTGACTCACCGAAAGCACTTGAGATGCCAAGGACGGCACATCCAATTTGTAAACCTGGCAAAAGTATTCTGAAAGGAGGGGTGAGCAGAGCTCATTAGCATTTAAAGCAACATGGACTAGAACAGCGTGCTGAAAACAGGGTTTTGACAGGGTAAAAAGGGTGATTTTTACACTACCATTGAGAAATTTAATCAAAGTATGTTATAGACTTTTCATTAAGACCCTAAAGAATCATATCAACTTGTGGAAAATGGACATCCGATGACCCCTTTAAAGCTGCATTACGTTTTTTTTTTGGTTTTGTTTTTTGGTTAAAAATGATCCAAAATCAATGATTGAGCAAGTACATAAGCAATCAGTGTTCAAAACGATCTCCTTACTTTAGCCCAATTCACAACAGTAAGCTTATAATAATGTTTTATAATTTGAGTGGTTCGGGTCTGTCATCTTTGCGTCATTACGTCATGTCTGTATACATAAAGAAGGAGTCCCAGCTATCGCGTGTTTGGATGTCTCGTTCCCACTCTCAGGGAACCAAGGTTACAACAGTAACCAGAAACGTTCCCTTTCAAGCGTTCACTCACATTGTGAAGCATTCTCTGTGGGAACAGTATACAATCCCGCCGTGAACGCGTAAAACCACATCAAGCATGGTGTAGAACAACATACAACAACAGTAGCAACAGCTATACGCAGTAACAAACTGTGCTCCAAATTGCATGCATTGCAATAAACATGAGGGATAAGTGAGGTTAGTGACTCACCGAAAGCACTTGAGATGCCAAGGACGGCACATCCAATTTGTAAACCTGGCAAAAGTATTCTGAAAGGACCAGCCGGCTGCATAGCATATATCCCGAATAGACGTGCCTTTAGACTAGGCCCATGAAGAGGCAATAGCCCTCGTCATATGGGCTCTGATATTGAGAGGACATTCCTGTCCATGGCTCGCTTAAGCCGACACAATAGCGTCTATTATCCAGTGAGAAAGCCTCTGGTTAGATACTGCTCGTCCCTTAGTACAGCCACTGAAGCACATGAAGAGCTAATCAGACTGTCGAAAGATAGCTGAGCGGTAGATATAAATCCTTAAAGCCCTAACAGGGCAAACAATGCTCTGAGCCTCGGCATCACTTGAGGTCGACGGCTCGGAAGACAAAGTGGACAAAGAAATGTCCTGCGCTTTAAAGGGGGTGGAAAGAGATTGAGGCATGTAGCCCAGTCTCAGCCGGAGAGCAACACTGCAGTCCCCAGGCCCAAAGCAAATATAATCGTCATCCATCGAGAGCACATGCAAATCTCCTATGCACTTAACCGAGGCAAGGCAGAGAAGCAGAGCAGTTCTGAGGGAGAGCTCCCTCATAGGGATAGATTCAAAGGACCCGAACGAGGGTAGAGAGAGCTTTCAGAACCAGCGCACCAACGTTGGGTGGGGGGATATAATCTCCTTGCTCCCCTGAGAAATCTGACCACCAGCGTGTGCTTTCCAGTTGATTGCCCATCAACCGTGAGCTGTGTGTGACCTCGATGCGCATACTCCCCTAGGTCTATGCTCTCCACGGGACTTGAGTTTTCAGCCACAGCTGTAGTGGCCGCATGTGCAAAAGAAAGAGGTGGCAAACTGATGAAGATCTGAGAGGGGAAAGCACCGCATTTACTTTGAGAACATGCAAGGGGTTAAAGCCAGCCTGAATGGGAGCACTGAGTACTGGTATTCTGTGCCCTGGAAAGCAATCGGAATATGAATGTATGCATCTTTGAGATCTACAGATGCAAACCAGTCCCCAGTATGGATTTGTGCCTGGATCTGCTTCAGAGTCGTCATCCTGAACGCGTCCTTGTGAAGTGCTCTGTTGATGGGTCTCAGGTTCAGGATCGGATGGAGTCCCCCATCTCTCTTGGGTACCACAAAATAGTGGCTTTAAAACCCGCTCTCCAGTTTGCTCAGAGGGACTCGCTCCATCACTTCTTTTGCAAGAAGGCTGTGAACTCTGTCTCCTGTCTCAAAAATAGGGGCATTTTGAGGGCGTGTCAGTGACGGAACCACGCCATTGAAACGGGGATGGTCTGCGTCTGAACTGGAGAGAATATCCGTGCTCTATTATGTCCAGCACCCAGCGCAAAATGGCTGGAATATCTCTCCACTCATCTAGGAACTGACATAGCATCTCTCCAGTCACTATCGCTGTTTTTTTCAGCAAAGTTCATAGACTGGCACCTTGCCCCAGCATGGCTAAACGTGCTGGCAGGGAAATGGCTTGTGGAAGACAACACTGGCACAGACAGACTCTGCGCTTCTCTGAGGCAGGGCGAGTAGGAAACAGCTAGGTTTGTGAGGACGTTTGTGTTTTTATTGCAGTAAATGAAACAAGAACATTGCATTGGTCACCCGCATGAACAAGGGGAACATAATGCAGGATGCGGCATTTGGGGGCCGGGCCTCCAGCGAGCTCTCTCCTCCTCTTTGCCGGTCTGTTAGGATGAAGGCTTGGCAGCGGGTGGTGGTCTGCTGTCACGACGGGGGCTTCTCCTCGGGGCATCAGGTGACTCATCGTCTTACGGTCCATGTCTTACAGGTCAGCTAGGGTGCCTGTGAAGGACTACCATGAACCCCATGGAATACCTGATGGCTTGAGTGGAGCACTTTGTCATCATCAGCGCGAAGTCCGTCGCCGCTCGCAGGTCTGTCACAGTGTCTGTATCCAAGTTGCCGCTGTCCAGGGACTGCAGAAGCTTAGCCTGAAAGACCTGCAGCACCACCATTGCGTGCAGCGCAGATACAGCTTCACCTGCAGAAGCATATGCCTTGTCATCAAGGTGGGCAGTAAATCTGCACGGCTTAGAAGGCAGGCTGAGGTCTCCGCCAAGCGTAGATGAGGAAGGCCACAGATGCATGGCGACGGTCTCCTCGACGGGGGGCGTGTGCACATAACTGTTTATTGAACTGCCATTATCCTATAAGGTTTCAGTATTTTGGAGATGGGGAGGAGTTCCCACAGCGAATGCTTCACAATTTGAGTGAATGCTTGAAAGGGAACTTTTTTTTCAGTTGGTCAGAACAAAACTGCCAGACATGTTACTTACTTGTTCAGATGACATTTTCGGGTGAAACTTCTTATTTTGGACATACTTCTAAGATGTACTATCTGTAATTCCGAAGTACACTGAATATCAACACTGGTGCGTTGACTAATAGCCCATACATACACCTCAAACATTTGATTCATCCACGCTGAGGAGCCCTGCCGATGCACAACCCACATAAAGAATATAATTCCGCAAATAACTGCATTTGCAGGTTTCAAACAGAGATGGCGACAAAGAGTCATAGTCATGAAAGTGTTATCTCCTTAAGTACACTTAAGTGGCCTTAAGTAAATAATATTTTAATTTTTAAAAAATATACTTTTAATATTTGAAGGAGACTGCAAGTGCACAATCAGTACAACTGAGGATGTTTCGTTTTCACAAGGGAATGGGTTCTGCTATAAAATAATTGTTGGTAATAACTGTTCCTGCTCTCATCTCTCAGATGATGGGGAATGTGAGGCCTGCCACTCTTCATGTGAATCCTGCTGGGGGAGAATGAAAACTCAATGCAATGCCTGTGTCAAAGGTATAATAGTACAACTCAAAGAAGAATATGATATATGAAAAAAAGTTTTGGTTGGTTTTATAAAGGGTTGGATGAATGGATATTTAGACATTATGTATGTGTGTTTTATCCACTCTGTCTTCTAGGTCGATATCTGAATGCAGATCAGATGTGTGTGGTACGATGCCCGACGGGCAGCTTTGGCAGTAAGGAGAGCGGGCACTGTGAGACTTGCCCTCAAGGTTGTGCCCAGTGCCAGGATGAGCAGCTCTGCACACGCTGCCAGTCAGCACGTAAAAACACTCTTTATTTGCAGGCCGGCCAGTGTGTGCTTAAGTGCACAAGGTTAGAGCCATTTACTGATATTTATATATAGGAATGAAAAGCTAATGATATACTGTTTTCCCTTAGGTCCACTTTTTAAGGTTTCTTGCACCAATTTAGTTATAATTTAGTATCGCATGGACATCTAGTCTAAATGTTAAATTCAATTATTTACATTAATTACAGTTTAATTACATTTTTTTATGCAAATTTACACAATATTGCTTATTTGCTTTTTTTGTTGAGTATCATATTTGATACATCAGACTTTTCTGGTTCATATAGTATGATAGGAGAATATGGAACTTTCCAAGGAGAAAATAAACACCTAATTTTTATTCAAAAAAGGCCCAAACTGAGCAAAAATATGCAATTTGGTGTAGTTATTGTTGTTTATATGGCCAAAAGTAAGGACATTCCTGTAGCTTGTAATGTAAATCAATGAAACATCTTACAGAAAATGCTTATAAATATCAACTACTATATATTTCTGAATAATATGACTTAGTAATATGATATTTAAATGCTTAGCTTTATGATCAAAGCTCTGCATTTTTATTTCGGAGGGCAAAACATATAATACAGGGCAATTGTACCACAAGGGGGCATTTTTTAAATGATTTATTTCAAAAAATAAAATAGTTTTTAAGGACTTTTATTTGCTAAAAAGTATAAACTATATCAATCTATCGATCAGATGAAGACATGTAGTACATAGTGTACAACAGCTTTTTCGCGAAAAGTTTTGATAATATAAAGGACTTAGAAATTTGGCTTTTGGCTTTTTGGCTTTTTAGGGTTAAAAATACAATTACACTAACAAAAAATGTCACAGTTCCGGTTTGTATTTTCAAAAATCAATAACATAATGTAAGGAAATTATTGACAAATTCTGGTATTATGTAGTAGTTATATTGCACATGTATATTATGTTTAATTATGTGCATGTATATGTGTATTCAGAGGGTATCCTGTGGGTCAGGTGTGTAAGAGCTGTGCATCTGGTTGTATGTCCTGTGAGAAGAATGCAACACACTGTCTGAGCTGTGAGGAGACGCTACTTCTCCACAAACATGAGTGTGTGGTACAATGTCCATCTGGACACACAGTGAGGAATGGGGAGTGTGTGCAGTGTCCAGAGAGCTGTGTTATCTGCTCTGAGGACGGACTCTGTACAGGTGAGACTGAAATTCATTACAGTTTTGCATGTTTTCATGAACTATTCTTTTATGTTAAGAAAATAATAAGAAACAAAGATGTTTTATTGATGTTGTAACAGTCTTCTACACTCAAAAAAAAAAAATCTGTAAAACAGCTGTCACTGGGGCAGTACCCTTTCAAAAAGTACACATTTGTACCTGATTTACCCATAAATTGTGCATATTAGTACCTTAAAGTTACATTTTATCACCTATTTTAAATAATAATATTGTACCATTTTTTTCTGAGAATGTAGTGGCCTTTCTCAGTAGCATTAATACCATCAACAGTGTTTCATACATTTTAATACAGGTTTCATACATGCTGATAATTCAACTTTCCTCTAGTTACTGTTTCCTCCAAACAGTAACGCATGATGGATCATGTGTGATTTGATAAAATGTATACTGATTTGAATGCATTAATACAATGTATGTTGCTTTGGTCTTTCTCCGTCATTTTCTGATAAACTTGTATATTGAACACAGACACCTGCTCTGGTACAGCTATTACGACTAATCGTTAGCATCAAACAGAGTGAAACAGTTGGAATGTTCAATTTAGTAAACACATTAATGACATCACATGAATAAATAAATAAAATACATGCTGTTACATATAGTGAATTAATTTTGAAACTCTAACTTTGATAATCTTAGCATTTTCAAATTCATTGTTAAATATATTACCCTAGCTATTCCATTTTTCTGTTCTTTTTAACTTCAGAGTGTAAGGAAGACTTTTTCCTGCATGCGGGTCAGTGTATAGTGGTGTGTCCTGATGGGTTTTTTGAGGACACTGATCAAGGCATTTGTGAGCGATGCCACGCCGACTGTGAATTATGTGATGGGCCCGAACCAAACAACTGTGATGCCTGTTCCGACCCTGACCACACACTGCACAACGGAGCATGTTTATCCCCCTGCCCCGCACATACTTACAGGGAAAGCAGGTCTGGAAAGTGCATGGGTGAGACTACATGACGTTCTGTACTGTTACTATTAAAGGTGTAGTCATGTTTTTCCATTGAATTATTCTTTATTGCACCTAAATAAATTAATAGCACTTCCAACAAATATATTTAAATTGATGAACACAAACATAAGATGAAGTTTTATTTTACATAAAGGTAAACAAGGTTACATCAGGCAGTTGAGCTTTGTTATATAGTACATATCACTTTACGCAAAGATGGAAAGAATATACATACTTTACAGAACGCTGAGATAATACATTTTACATTTTGCGATGATATAAACAATAACACAGGTAAGTGTACTGTATGTGTCCCAGTAAGGTTGGATATCCTTATGGTGGTTGTATAATTTGCTATTAATTATTAAAGGGGTCATATGATGCGATTTAAATTTTTCACAGTCATGTACAGTATGTGGAAAATAATGTGTTTTTTTAACCTTAAACCGCATAAACACATTTCATTACACCAGATACACAAAATAATGTTCTTTTTAGCAACATCATATGACCCCTTTAATGTATTAATTAATTTTAGTAATTAATTCAATATTAAATAGATTTATGAAACCTGTGAGGTTTTGTTCAATTTATTTAGTGTAGGGACAGGACTAATTGCATTTTGGTGATTACTGACACAATCACTGACATGGTTAAGTGATGCATATTAATAACAGGGTTAAAAATTTCCTATTACTCACCCCTAAGCAGTTCAGCTGAGGAGTTAATTGAAAGTACAAAAGCATAATACTCATACATACTGTACGTAGTACTTTAGTCCCCTAGTGTGCAACCAAAAGGCTAAGGGGAATAAAGATATGTGGCTGTGACGTAATCGAACTCAGAGATGAGGGAGGAGAGTAAGATCCAAATGCAGTTTATTAAGGTAGACAATAATCCAAACACAAGTAGCAGAAACCAGGAATCAATAATAAATTGATCCAAATCAATGATAAATAATATTTCATTATAATGATATTAAAGTATAATTCGTTTAAAAATAAAATTACTTTTCTATATGCAATACGTCAGTATTAATAACCATAATTGTGTCATCACTAGAGTCTCTTTTTGTTCTGCAGCCTGTGACAGCTCCTGTCTAACCTGTTCTGGTCCTCACGACACATCCTGCACCAGCTGCTCTGAGGCCCTGGCGATAGATGCTCACGGGCGCTGTGCCACACCCACCACATGTCCCTCACACCACTACAGCAACCAAGATGGAGAATGTCACTTGTGTCACAAGTATTGTCACGAGTGCTCTGGCTCACATCAGGACCAGTGCCTCAGCTGCAACCAGAACCACTATCTACTCAGTGAGTTCATGCCATTGAGGCCTGATGCTCTCTTGTTTAGATACTCTCTTCAGTGTAAAGAAAATCAGAGAAATGGAGAAAGTTGTAACAGAAGGGCAATAGTTGCACTAAATTATAATGCCTTAAGAAGAAGAAAAAAAGAAGAAAAAAGTATCACCGTTTCCACAAAAATATTAAGCAGCACATCCGTTTTCTACATTTATAATAATAAGTATTGTTTATTGAGCACCATATGCATATTAGAAGGATTCCTGAAGGATTCCTGAAGGATCGTGTGGCACAATAAATTACATTTTAAATAAGAACAGCTTTTTTGAAGTGTAATAATATTTTACAATATTACTGTTTTTAGTGTATTTTTGATAATAAATGCGATGAGCATAAGAGACTCTGAACATTTCAACAAATCTTGCTTACTCCAAAGTTTTGAAAATAGGGTAATTGTTCATCATTTATCATAACAAAAGCATGGAAAAAAGCATGATATTGCATCTTTTGATATTAAATAATAAAAGTTAATGATCATTTAAAAACAGTAATATAAAACAGCAGCAGCCCACCCGAAAAAATATACATCTGAAGGCACACTTTTGGAGTACATTGACAAGAATTCATTTTAAATTTCATGTGACATTTTTGACTACAATAACAGAAAGACACAAGGCATTGATCACTTTATTTTACAGTATGTGTACTTACATGTACTTACAGTGTACTTGAAAGTACTGGGTAATATAAGGAAACTAAATGGGTTAAGTTTAGGTTTAGGGTTAGTACCTAGTTATTACCCAGTTATTGTAATTATTATAATAATACATAATATGTACATGCGGAACAGGACTGTAAAATAAAGTGCTACCATACTCTGTCATTTATAAATATACATATTACAGTTGAATATTTCCCCAAATATTCAACTTAGGATGTCACCGTTTTATGATGTCTATATAATGTCATTAATATTATGGTAATTGTATGATACTGCCATAACAACTAACATTAACGTTAATTAAATGCAGAATCAGCCATACGTGTACAGTAATTCCACATTCAAAAATGATGATAATTCCTGAGATAATATTTCATAGGTTTTAGTGTAAACAAAGGTTCCACTTCATCCACAGATGGCAGCTGTGTGAATCAGTGTCCAGATGAATTCTTCAAGGGGGAAACACAGCGCTGTGAACCCTGTCATCCTAACTGCCTCACCTGCATGGGGCGGCACAGCCACGAGTGCCTGAGCTGCAGAGTTCACCTCTACAGAGACGCCAAGGAATGTGTGGACACATGCCTCTCTGGGTAACTACAATACTCACTACCTGTAGTAAGGCATTTGGCCAGTGTTGCCTTAGAAACATGCAGAATATCATCTAGGCCAATTAATCAGGCAATATTAGGTCATACTGAACTGACTTCTCAATTTATAATAGATAACAAACTGCAATGTCTGTTTTCAAATATTTTTGACTAAATCTCTTCCAGTCACTACGCTTCAGCTGTCTCTAGGACGTGTGAGCGGTGTGATGAGAGCTGTGGGGAGTGTCTTCAGGCTGGTGCCGAGGGCTGTGTGAGCTGCAGAGAGGGGATGCTGTTTATCAGGAAGCAGGGGCGCTGTGTGTCTTCCTGTCCTGATGTGTACTACCATGATACACACCACAAAACATGTGAAGCCTGCCACCCCAGCTGTAGAACATGCACAGGTACAGTATGGAACAAATTACACGTGACTAAATATTTCAGACAAACTAGTTAGTTCCACTAAACAGTGCAAAAGAAGTGAGCTTATACTGAATATACATTTGTACAAATTTTACTTCAAAGAGCAAGAGTTTGATTAATAAATCAAAATGTTTTTAATGAGTTCGCACTTACATATAATCGGATTGAGCAAATATTAAGCATAATTGGCGTGCTGTCCGAGGGGAGGGCTCCGAGCTCAGAATATAGCCCGAACCCAGAGAACTCCCCATATCCCCAAGCTGGGATAAGAATAGTTAGGAGTGAGGAGTTGGGGTGGCAGAGGGATGCCAGAAAAACTGTTGTGGGACAGAGGTAAGTTGGCTGTATGTATATTTATCATGCTAATTAAGTAGATTATCTGAACATGCTCCACCTGTGCTGAATTAGTTGATTATCTGAATGTGCTCCTCCCGAACTTTGTTAATAAAACATCATTAATATTTTGTCATGTTCTAAAGAAGTACACTTATTTTGATGTCTTGACTTACTAAACTTACTAAAGCACTTGTAAAGTACTTAAATTTAATTTTAGCTGTAGTGTGTTATTCAATATTTTAATCAAGTAAATATATTTTAAATGTTAAACTTTGTCAATACAAATGTGTAATTACAGTATTTAAATACATGACACAATTTTCAATAGAAATAACATTAAATTTCAGTTTACCATAAATTTCTGTCAGTACATTCAGCAGTACATTTTAAACATATTTCAAAGACAATAGAAGTAATTAAGAAAGTTTGTATTGATGACATCAAATGCGTTTAAATCCCTTTGGTTGGAGCAAGATGGCAATTTTCCTTTTCTACATCAAATTCAACAAGATTTTTAACTCCACATTTACAAAATGATGAATAAAGGATGTGCATCGGGTGATTAAAAAATATATATATTTTTTTTTATGAAATTTATGAAGGTGCTATCAATTGAATTGTCATATATTCTGTTGTTATGGCATAATACTACGTTATGTTTTTTTTTTACATGCAGTTTAAGTAGTTTTATTGTAAATGAAAAAATATATAATTTTAACAAATTTACAATTAATACAGGTGCTGGATCCATTGCGTCCGAAATGTTTTGCACCATTGAATGCAATAACATTGCAATAACAATTGCAAATAACATGCAGTTAAGTGTCTGAAAACATTACATTCAGTTTGCACTTAAGTATGTTCTTTTAAAGTATATTATTTCCATGATAAGTACTTTTAAAAGTACTGTATGTTAAAGTATGCTCTTTTTCACAAAGGGGTGATTACAGGTTGACCTGCTCTCACACCAAACTCACAAACTCATTCCATTTTGTGAGTGAAATACTGACATGTCAGGACACTTAAGCAAAAAAGATCAATGTTTTGTAAAAACACATTTTCACATTTTTTTTTCTTCAGGAAGTACAATTTTGAATGGTTTTTGCATATATATACAGCAAAGGGTCTGAATACTTAGGACCATGTGATATTTCAGTTTTTCTTTTTTAATAAATCTGCAAAAATTTCAACAATTCTGTGTTTTTCTGTCAATATGCGGTGCTGTGTGTACATTAATGAGGAAAAAAAATTAACTTAAATGATTTTAGCAAATGGCTGCAATATAACAAAGAGTGAAAAATTGAAGGGGGTCTGAATACTTTCCGTACCCACTGTATATATATATATACATAAATTACGCCTTTAAATTCTATTTTTAACCATTAACCATTCAGTCATTTCAGCCTAAAATTCTGGAATGTCATTTCTATTTACAGGCAAGAGTATTGAGGATTGTGACTCATGTCGAACAGGTTATACGCTCACACAGGGTGCTTGCGAGTCGCCCTGCATCACAGGAGAGTACGCTGAGCCTGAGGTAAACGTGTATTCTAGTGCAGTCTATTCAAACATGTTTACTTCCTAATCTACTTTGACCATTTTTATGAATGTGGTCACATGATATCTGTTGCAATCTCTCTACAGGAACAGGGCTATAACTGTGTGTCATGTGATGAGTCCTGTTTAGAATGCAAAGGTCCTGGGCCTCATAACTGCACCATCTGCCCAGCACAGTTCATTCTGACCACAGAGGGGCGCTGTCTGCCCTGCTGCACCAACACAGAACAGGAAGTTCAGCGGGAGTGCTGTAACTGTACCGAGACCAGAGGTATTTGGACTTAAAAGTGACAGTTCTTCTTCAAAATATTACCTGCACTAACAGGTTGATCAGTGACATTATTGACAACATAGGCTCAAACTCAATGGAAAAGCATGCCTCTACCTAGTGATTCGTAACACTGCTTCGTGAAGCTTCAAAGCCTTTGTGAATAGTTTGTGTGGTTGGGAGCACTTTTTCACTTATATATTGGGGAAGTCGTGGCCTAATGGTTAGAGCGTCGGACTCGTAACCCAAAGGTTGTGGGTTTGAGTCTCCTACCGTCAGGGAA